GAACTCGGGGTGCACACATGTGTACGGGTACGTGTTTGGGCACGTGCCTGAGAATCAGCTCGAGCATCTCCCAGCGCAGCAGGTGAGTCTGGGAACCAGGGGTCCCCCAGTGCCCCCGGCTGGAACCGCAGGGGGAGAAGGTCATGATGCCGGGGTCCCCCATCTTGGTTCTCTAGTGCTGCTATTAACAGAAACACCACAAGGAGGTGGCTTTAACAAACAGAAATTAATTATCTTGTGGTTCAGGAGGCTAGAAGTCCAAATTCAGGGTACTGGCTCTAGGGGAAGGCTTTCTCTCTCTGTTGGCTCTGGGGAAAGGTGTCTGCCTCTTTCAGCTTCTGTTACCTGGTGCCTTGGGGATCATGGGGCATGTACCTTCCCTCTGCTTGCTTGCTTAATTTGCTCTTTTATATCGCAAAAGAGATTGATTTAAGACACACCCAACACTAATACTGCCTCATTAACATAATGAAACCTCATTTCCACGTGAGATTATAACCACAGGTATAAACCCACTGCCATGGAGTCAACCCTGACTCAGTGACCCTACAGGACAGAGTAGAACTGCCCCATAGGGCTTCCAAGTCTACAATCTTTACGGAAGCAGACCACCACATCTTTCTCCAGGAGAGCAGCTGGTGGGTTTGAACTGCTGACGTTTCAGTTAGCACTGGATCGATTAACCATTGAACCACCAGGGCTTCTGAACCACAGGTATAGGGGTTAGGATTTACAACACGTATTTTTAGGTGGACACAATTCAGTCCATAGCACCCTCCAAGCTGGCCCAGAATCCCACCTCAAAGCAGTGGGGACCAGGGTGGGCCTTCCACCTGGAAATGTACCTGGGCAAGGAGCAGAGGGTCGACTGAGTCTGAGCAGGGGCTGGATCTGCCCCGCAGGTGCTGGACACGGGCGAGCAGCTGATGGTCCCTGTGGATGTCCTGGAAGTGGACAATGAGAAGACCTGGTGGAAGTTTCTGCTTTCGGGCGCCGTGGCTGGGGCCGTGTCTCGCACCGGCACGGCCCCTCTGGACCGAGCCAAGGTGTACATGCAGGTGTGGGGGTGGGGAACACAGCGCTGGAGCTACTGGGGACAGCATGGGGTGGGGATGGCTGGAGACATGGAACTGGGGTTCAGGATGGGGCTGGGGGTACTGCTGGAAATAGGTATGAGGGCGGGGCTGGGATAGGGGTTGGAGTTGGGAAGGAAGCTGAATACAGACAAGGGTGGAGGTTGGGGTTGGGGATCATGTAGGGTGGTGTTGAGGCTGGAGTTGTGGATGACAGTGGAGCTGACATGGATGGACATGGAGTTGAGTGGGGGAAGGAGTGGAGAGAATGGTACCAGGGACTTGGATCAGCACCAGACAAGGGCTGAAGTTGGGGACCAGGGAGTTGGGGTGGAGCTGACGTGGATGGGACATGGAGTTGAGTCGGGAAGGGATTGAGAGTATGGTGTCAGGGACTGGGATTAGCACTGGGCAAGGGTTGGAGATGGGGACCAGGAAATTGGGGATGGGTTCTCTGGATGGGTTTGAAGACAAAACAGTACTGGCGAGGAGGTGAGGGATGAGATGAAAATGTGAGTTGGTGCTGGGTTTGGGTCTGGGTTGAGAAAGGCAACAGGACTGGGTTGCAGAATTCTATGGAAAGCCAGGGAAGGGGCTGAGGATGGATGGGGATGGGATGGGGATAGGATTGGAGCTGGCCTGGCTGGAGGCAGATGGGGTTGAGCTTCAGGCTGGGGTAGGGATGGAAATGGGGCAGGAGGCTCCTCAAAGAGCCAGGGTCCCTTCTGTCCTCAGGTCTACTCCTCTAAGACCAACCTCATGAATCTGCTGGGGGGGCTACGGAGCATGGTGCAGGAGGGGGGCTTCCGCTCCCTATGGCGAGGCAATGGTATCAACGTGCTCAAGATTGCCCCTGAGTACGCCATCAAGTTCTCGGTCTTTGAGCAGGTGGGGAATGGTCTGCTTTACCCAGTCCCTCCCTCAAGCCCAAACCCCACAAGTCCAGGTCTTCATCCAAGATACACTTTTGCCCTCCAAGTCCCGGACCCCTTTCCTAGGGTGGGTTTGAGGCAGGAAGACGGTTAGCTTCCCTCATACCCTTCTCTCCTGTCCTAGTGTAAGAATTACTTCTGCGGCATACATGGGACTCCACCCTTCCAGGAACGCATCCTTGCTGGCTCCCTAGCTGTAGCCATCTCCCAGACACTCATCAACCCCATGGAGGTAAGACAGCACCTGCCCCACAGACATGAAATTAGATGAAAATCATCATGGTTTCCATCCCATGAGCAGCTATCATGTACCAGGCAAACACTACCTTGTTCAACTCTTGAAAGAATCCCATGGGACACTGGGATTATCTCCATTTTGTTGTCCGTTGCCACCCAGTTGGCTCCGACTCATGGCAACCTTATAAATAACAGAACAAAACGTTGCCCAGTCCTGAGCCATCTTCATGATCTTGGTATGTTTGAGCCTATTGTTGCGGCCACTGTGTCAGTCCATCTCACTGAGGGATCCCCTTGTTTTTGTTGACCCTCTAATTTACCAAACATGATATCTTTCCTGGCAATTGGTCCCTCCCAATAACATATCCAAGCTAAGCTAGTTGAAGTCTTGCTGTCTTCGCTTCTAAGGAGCATTCTGGTTGTATTTCACCTAATTTGTTCTTTTGGCAGCCCACAGTATATTCACTATTCTTCACCAAAACCACAGTTCAAATGCGTCAATTTTTCTTCCGTCTTCCTTTTTCATTATCCAACTTTCACATGCAAATGAGGCGACTGAAAAGCCCATAGTTGGGTCAGGCGCACCTTAGTCCTTAAAGTGACATCTTTGCTTTTTAACAGTTTAAAGAGATCTTTTGCAGCAGATTTGCTCAATGCGATGCGTCTTTTGATTTCTTGACTGCTGCTTCCATGGGCGTTCATTGTGGATCCAGGTAAAATGAAATCCTTCTTCAATCTTTTCTCCGTTTATCATGATGTTGCTTATGGGTCCAGTTGTGAGGATTTTTGTTTTCTTTATGTTGAGGTGTCATCCATACTGAAGGCTGTGGTCTTTGATCTTCATCAGTAAGTGCTTCAAGTCCTCTTCACTTTCAGCAAGCAAGGTTGTGTCATCTGCATAATGCAGGTTGCGAATGAGTCTTCCTCCAATCCTGATGCCCCGTTCTTCATATAATCCAGCTTCCAGGATTATTGGCTCAGCATACAGATTGATATGGTGAAAGGCTACAACCCTGACATACATCTTTTCTGATTTTAAACCACAGAATAGCCCCTTGTTCTGCTGATTAGTCCGTATGAACTTTAGATCAACTTGCCCAGTTAGGAAAACAAAAACAGCTATCAGTATTTTTTTTTTTAAGTGAGATAGTGTCCAAACTATAAATTTAGAGATTATTGCTATCTTTATGTTGCTGATGAGGCAGTGGTGGTTCAGTGGTAGGATTCCTGCCCTCCATGTGGGAGACCTGGCTTCCATTCTCAGCCAATGCATCTCCTGCACAGCTACCACCCATCTGTCGGTGGAGGCATGCATGTTGCTAGGATGGTTTCAGCAGAGCTTCTAGACTAAGACAGACTAGGAAGAAAGGCCTGATGGTCTACTCCTGGAAATCAGCTAATGAAAACCCTATGGGTCACAACCGTTTGATCCACAACCGATCGTGGGGATGGCGCAGGACTGGGCAGCATCTCTTTCCATTGTGCATGGGGCCTCCATGAGTTAGGGGTCCACTCAAGGACAGCTAACGACGTACGTTCCATTTGTTCAGGTCTCCGTTTATGTTCTTTAATAGCATTTTTCAAAAACTTCTTACTCTGAAGTAATTTTAGACTCACATAAAAGTTGCAAAAAGAATACAGAGAGTTCCCATATACTCAGCCCAGCTACTGCTGATGTTAACACCTTACATAAACATAAACCAAAACCAGGAAATCGACAGTGATTCAGTACTACTAACAAATCTACACCCCTTATTCAAATTTCAGCCATCTTTCCCACTAATGTCCTTTTCTGGCTCAGCTTTAATAGCATTTTAAAGTTTTCTCACATGATGCTTGCCTTGTCTTGTTAACTTTGTTCCCGGGTGTATTCGTTTGCGATTGCTGCATAACAAATTACCACAAGTTCAGCAGCTTTAAACAGCATAAATTTACTCCCTCAGTGTCTGTGGCTCTATGAACTCATCAGACGCTCAGGGTCCTCTTCCAGGCTCCCTGGTTGCTGGCCAAATTCAGTTCCTTTGGTTGTATGGTGGTGGCCCTGTGAAATGGTGGTAGTAGTAGTAGCATCAGAACCTGTCTAACTTGAGGGAAGATAATGACCAGGATCAGCCCAAAGCTGATTCCCACAGGGTGGAGGTCAGACATACCTCCACTCTCCAACCTTTTTACCAATTCTGACAACCAGCGGTCTCTCCCACGGTGCTCTCTACTTCTCTTCTGGGTTTGATAATCTGTTGCGACGGCCACACAGATCTCACAGACCATACTTATAGTTCAGTGGTTTATCACGGAACAGGGTACAACTTGGGAGTAGGATCAGGCAGTATATAGGCAAAGTCTCCCTTCTTCAGTGCAGGACAGCTCTGTCAGCTCCTTTTGACTGACAGGCCTCCTCTCAGCCCCCGGAGGACCAGCCCCTCTTGGCTCTGCTGTCTGTCACCACCAGCTCTGCCAGTGAGCTCCTTCCAGGCCTCTCACTGTCTTCAGTATTACAGCCCTTGACTGTGTTACAGCTCTTTCAAGAAGGAGGTATCTTGCCTCCTCTCTCCCTCTGCTTCTCTTCCTGTTTATTTCTGTCTCTGAAAAAGACCTCTGCGGGGTTGCCTGCTTAAATACACAAACTCCTTGTCAATTTCAAGGCATGGCTCTCCCACCAGGGCTACAAATTGACCAATCCTCCCTAGGTAGGCCACAGCCACTTAATTTGCATAGTAGGCTACAACTCACCTCATCTGCATAGTCTGTTGACCAATGCTTGCAACATGCATATCAATCACAGGCCAGGCTGCAGCCCAGGATGAGACAAAAAGTATCAAACCGAGTTGTTTATAGCTTGCCTAGGAAATGTCAATCAACCCAGACAAAAGTAACAAACCCTCTGGGGAAGAAAACCAGGGCAAGAGTAACTCCTCCTGGCTTAGGGGGAAAATTTCTCCAGCTGTTTTTCCCAAGAACCAAGGCAAAAGGCCACATAAAGGAACTCATTTCACCACACGCCCTAAACTCCTAGAGGTTACCTGCCACTCCTTGTCACATGGCCCTCTCCACAACATGTCAGTTTGCTCCTTTAAGACCAACAGAGATATGTGGGATCAAATTGATAAGAGTAACTGGAAAAATTAGATAGGAACCTTAGGGGGGCAGTGAGGTTATGCTCACCGGGGAGGAACAACTCAGAAAAGGAGGGTGAGAATGGTTGCACAACTCAAAGAATGTAATCAATGGCACTGAATTGTACATATAGAAACAGCTGAATCGGTGTATGTTTTGCTTTGTATATTCTCAGCAACAACAACAAAATAAATATAATTAAAAAAATAAAGCCCTAGATAAGAAACAGCTATTAAAAAAAAAAAAAACCAGCAAAATGTTTCTCTGCTGCTTCAAATCTCTCTGATTTCTTCTATCTCTGGTGCTAGACTCTCTTTTAAAGGGCTCACCTGATCAGGTCAGGCCCGCCAAGGTTTATATAGCAAATTAGTTTCTCATTAAACAATTAATACATAAATTGTTTTGTGACATTGGTTGCCAACCCCATGAACTGTCAACACTCTCCCCTTCTCCACCCTAGGTTCCCTGTTTCCATTTGTCCAGTTTTCCTGTCCCTTCCTACCTTCTTTGCTTTGGGGCTGGTGTGCCCACTAAGACTCGTATACATGACTGAACTAAGAAGCACGTTCCTCACATGTGTTGTTTGCCCTATAGACCTGTCTAATCTTTGGCTGAAGGGTGAAACTTGGGAGTGTGGACGATAACTTTTGATTAACTTCCAGTTAACTGATTAGGGACCTTAATTACATCTGCAGAAATCCCTTTACCTTTTCAATATAAGGTAACCTAATCAGGGGATTGCTAGCCCTCATAGTCACACATCCCACTCAGACCCAAAGAGGGTGAGGGGCATTATACAGGGCATGTATCCCACCAATCCAGGGAACAGGAATCTTGGGGACCATCTTAGAATTCTGCCTACCACTCTAGGGGCTGTATCTTTTGTACAATTGTAAAGTTGTCAATATTTTGATATTGGGACATTCCCTAAAAATTCAGATTTCTGGCTCCTTTTGGACACCCTGGGGGCGTAGTGGTTAAGAGCTGTGCTGTGATAACCAAAAAGTCGGCAGTTCGAATACACCAGGTGCTCCTTGGATGCTCTATGGGGCAGTTCTACTCTGTCCTATAAGGTTGCTATGAGACAGAATCGACTCGACGGCAATGGGTTTGGTTTGGTTGGTTTAGGAAACTGGTTGTTCTGGCCCCTTGGGGCCCTGCTCCCACAAAGCAAGCTTCAGCTGGAGCTGAGCTGAAGCCACCCCAGACCCCACTCAGCTCGCATCACCTCCCTCACCCTCCTGACCTCTGTCAGCATTTGAGTTTCAGAGTCCTGGGTGGAGAGCAGACACAGGCCAAGGGAGCAGACACATATGGGTTCGAAACTCAGCTCTTCACTTTGCTGAGCTTGTGTCCTCATTTTGCAAGCGGGGGACAACATTCATTGCTGAGGGTCATTGTCTTAGTTCCCTAGTGCTGCTATAACAGAAACACCACAAGTGGGTGGCTTGAACAAACAGAAATGTATTTTCTCACAGTTTGGGAGGGTAGTGTTGTTGGGTGCCATTAACTCAATTCCGACTCATAGTGGCCCCGTGTGACAGAGAAGAACTGCCCCATAAGGTTTTCTAGGTGCAGGTCCAGGAAGTGTTTTGTTCTGTTGTACACGGGGTCGCTGTGAGTTGGAACCAACTCAACGGCACCTAACAACAACAGTCTTTACAGGAGCAGCTTTCCAGGCTTTTCTCCTGCAGAGCTGCTGGGTGGGTTTGAACCTTCAGCCTTTGAGTTAGCAGCTAAGCACTTAACCATTTGCACCACCAGGGCAGAAGTCCGAATTCAGGGCACTGGCTCTAGGAGACAGTTTTCTCTCTTCTTGGGGGAAGTCCTTGTTTCTTTCGGCTTCTCTTCCTGGGTTCCTCAGAGATCTCCACAGGGCATCAATCTCTCCCTATCTATGCTTCCTTCATCATCTCTGTGCCTAATCTACTTTTTTTATATCTCAAAAGTGATTGCCTTAAAACACACCACACATTGAACTGGCCTCATTAACATAACAAAGAAAACCATTCCCAAACGGGATTATATTCACAAGTATGTTGTTGTCTGGTACCGTCCAGTCGATTTCGACTCATAGCGACCCCATGTGGCAGAGAAGAACCACTGGGTGGGTATGAACTGCTGCCCTTTCCATCAGCAGCCATTTGGTCGGCTTAACCAACGCGCCACCGAGGCTCCTTCATCCACAGGTATAAAACCAAACCAAACCAAACCCACTACCATCAAGTTGATTCCGACTCATAGTGACCCTACAGGACAGAGTAGAACTGCCCCATAGAGTTTCCAAGGAGCGGCTGGTGGATTCAAACTGCCAACCTTTTGGTTAGCAGTCATAGCTCTTAACCATTACGCCATCAGGGTTTCTTTCCATCCACAGGTGTAGGGCTTAGGATTTACAACATGTATCTTTGGGATACACAATTCAATCCATGACGGTCACTAAAGCAATTAAGCCAAACGAGCCACCTCATCTTCCCTCCTCCTCAGGTGTTGAAGACGCGGCTGACACTGGGCCGGACGGGCCAATATAAAGGGCTTTGGGACTGCGCGCGGCAGATCTTGGAGCAGGAAGGGCCCCGTGCCTTCTACCGCGGCTACCTGCCCAACATGCTGGGCATCATCCCCTACGCCTGCACCGACCTGGCCGTCTACGAGGTGGGGGTCCCCCCAGGGGAGTGGTAGGGTGACTGGGGCCCAGACCCATTGTGAGCTTTCTCCTGGTCCCCTCCCCTTGCAGACGATGAGATGCTTCTGGAGGAAGTCAGGCAGAGACATGGAGGATCCCAGCGGCCTGGTCAGCTTGTCATCTGTGACGCTGTCCACAACCTGCGGCCAGATGGCCAGTTACCCGCTGACCCTGGTGCGCACCAGGATGCAGGCTCAAGGTCAGCCCGGCCCCCCGGGTGGCCACATTCCCCCGCCCCTGACTCTGTGAATTTTCTCAGCACCCAAAATGGACCCTGAGATTCTCCACATCTGATCCTGGCTGCCTTTGCTGGCCCCTAAACCGAGCAAAGCTTGTACTCACCCCCAAATCTGAGCCCAGTCTCTAAAAGTCATTAAAACATCTATCCCCCATTTACCCTCACTCCCTAAATGTGACCCAGGCCCCCATACTGACCCCAAGACAAACCAGTTGCCATCGAGTAGATTCCGACTCATGGCAACCCCGTATGGGTCAGAGTACAACTATGCTCCATAGGGTTTTCAGTGGCGGATTTTTTAGAAGTAGAATGCCAGGCCTTTCTTCTGAGGTGCCTTTGGGTGGACCTCAACCTTATGGTTAGCAACGGAGCGTGTTAACCATTCGCACCACCCAGGGACTTCTGACCCCAAGACAAATAACCCCCAAAATGACACAACTTCTCCAAATCAGACTGAGCCCTCAAACAGTTCTATAGTTCCCAAATTTGCCACGTCTGATCTTTAGATTCCTCGAAACTCATACCACTTCCCCCACTACCCTGAGAAGTCCCCAAATCGCATACCTCAAATGGACTCAGCCCCTAAACCGATCCACAAACCTCAAAACAAACCTGCAGCCCACCACCCTGACCTTGACAGTGTCCCCCAAACAACCCTTGAGCACACTCCCAAAACCCCTAGATCTTAAAAGCTCTCTCCTTTATAAAGCTCAAGTGTTTTCAAAACTATTCTCTAAAATGAACCCTGAAAACTGCTCCCCAAATTGAACCCCTCACTCCCCCCAAACTGAACCATTTTCTCTAAAACTCTTCCAAATTCTCTTCCAACTGACCCCTGCTGACCCCTGGCCCTGGTTTTGCCCCCACATCTCCCAACATTCCACCTCCCAGGAAGCTGAGCCATTGCTACCAAGGTCTTGAACTTGGCTCTGTCCCCACAGATACCATGGAGGGCTTGAACCCCACCATGTGCGGAGTCTTTCAGCGGATCCTGGCCCAGCAGGGCTTGCCGGGGCTGTATCGAGGCATGACCCCCACACTACTGAAGGTGCTGCCGGCCGGTGGTATCAGCTACCTGGTGTACGAAGTCATGAAGAAAACCCTGGGTGTTTCAGCAGCGAGCTAGGCAACAGGCCCCGGGTGGAAATGGACAGGAGGTCCTGGTGTCCCCTAGCCCCAAAGAGCCCTGCAGGCTCAGGCTCTGCGCTGGGCAGTTTTTGGAAAGAGAGCACGCTGGGGGCCTAGGTCTGCAGATTCTGGAGGCCCCCTCCCCAGGGAGCAGCCCGGGACTGTGGTTTGGAATCCGGCCGGGAGCAACAAGGCTTGCTGCATTACGGGAGAAACGGTGAACATGTAGACGACCAGGAATAAAGGAATGGTTTCTACCAAGTGTGTTAGATCTCTGGGCCCAGGAGGGCAGCTGGGTGCTTGGGATCCCCGGGTCCAGGAGGGGAGCAAGGGACCTCGGGTCCCCGGGTCCTGAAGGGGAACTGGGAGCCTGGATGTTGCCAGGTTCAGGAGATAACTTGAGGGCCTGGGATCGAAGCCTACGATCCCAGAACCTTAAAGGAAGGGAGGGGTGGTGGCGCTGGAATTAGAGGCTAGAATTCCTGGGTCCTTGGAGGGACTGACGGCCCTGGACCCTTGAGTTCGGTAGGGAAGTTGAGAGAACCTGGGATTCTCCCAGTCCTTGGAGAGAAGTGGGGGCTCTAGACCCCAGGGTCAGGAGGAGGAGAGGTGAGTACTTCTCTCTGGGCCACCCTACCCCTCCCCGGAAGCACCCGATCTCCAAGACCTCAAGCTGACCACGTGCCGTATCCACCCAGCCGGCCTCCGAGATAGCTAACCTAGACGTCAGGCCTGAATTCCGGCATCCTGTGACCATTGCCCACGTTCCCTGCCATTCAGGCCCGCTCCCGCCAATCCCCTCTCGCCGTCTGAGAGTTGGCCCCGCCCATTGCAGCTGTGCTTCCATTGGTTCCCACCAAAACCGGCACCTTTATCTCCTCCATTGCCATTTGCTCGCAGTGGCGTCAGTCACCTAGGACTCGCCCCCGCCGCACGGCCCTTGGCTGGGTTTAGGCGTAGACTAGAAAAGGATTCTGGTTAACAAGGAACGCAATCAAGTCTAAATCCGACCTCATCAGGCCGAGCTCGTCGGGGATTGGATGAAATTAGCTGGCAATCTTCACAAGAACCGCCTTTCACGTGTACGCATTGGCTGGCGGGAACGACGATCCACCGGGTGCCCGCCCAGTCCGTTCAAAGAGGCCTTTAGTAGGCCCATCCTGCCAGTCCACTTGACTCTTCGGAGCCGTCGATCTGGTCCCGAAGCAGCCCCGCGATTCTAGAACCCCAGCTTCATTGGGCCTCCCGTCCTCTCAGATCGCCTCGATTTGCCCGCCCAGCACGGGTAGCCCGCAGTCCATTGCCTCCTAGAGCTGTCAATCACTCGGAGCCTCCCGCCTACTACCTCTCGCGGCTCTCCGATTGGCCGCGCGCCTCCAGAGCTCGCGATTGGTGCCCGGGGAGCAGTGGCCGCCTCCCATTGGCCGGGCACAGCCGTCCGTCACGCCGCCGGCGGGAGGGGGCGGCCCCTCCCCCTCGTCGTCTTCCCAGCCGCTGGGCTCCCAGAGTGCTCCGCGGCCGAGTGGAGCGAGGCCTTGTTCCCGCGTTGAGCCGCCGCCGCCTCCTCAGCTTCTGCCTCCGCGCCAGGCCCGGCCCCGCCGCGCCATGTCGGAGTACAGCACGGG